AAAAAAAAAAAAAAAAAAAAAAAAAAAAAAAAAAAAAAGACAAAGAAATGAAAAAGAACGGAATCGAGACGACGTTGGAAAAGAAATGCAAACGCCGATTACTACTACCCTCAATCAGGGGGAAGAGGGGCTGAAAGGAGTTAGGAGTGATGAAAGTGCGAGGGAGTGGGTAGGGACAGGGAGGGAAGGGAAAGAGCTATCACTAATTAGCTCCATTGTACCTCCATATTTGTTGTTTGGAATTGAAAACAGGGTTATGACAGAGGCAAGAACGGCCGAGCCCTTCAAGTTTTCTGGTTACATCTCACATCAGTGGAAGGAGTCCCGATTTGCGCGCCCTGTCAGATCCTAGGTTGTGATGCTAATCGCAGCCCTCGCAATCTCTGTCGATCTCCCGGAAACCAGCCAAGCTCCATAGCTACCCGCAAGCCGCGTCGCTAATCGGCGATTATCAATCGCCGGTACTCCGTACTCAACGTGTATAATGCTCATAGCGCATCCCCTAGCATAGCGACGAGTCTGCGACAGAGCTCGCTCGGTCAATTCCTCGACCTAAACCCATCAATCGGAAGGGATCAAACGGATCATACGACGCTGCCGGTAGCTAACAAATTTGTGTGGGTATCCCTTAGTCTGTACAAACAGTACATCAGCCACATGTAACACCTAGGGTTAGAATTCGGCTACTAACGGGCAAGTTCTTTTGTTTGTTATGGTTAGGTATGTATTGCGATATGGCTTCGTCGTTTGCCAGGCAACAGCAATCAGGCTCAGACTGTCCAACCAAACACACTGACAAACGTACGCCAGTGACCGTCACATTTGGGCCCCCGCTCTGTCTGGCTGCAGCTGATTGAGAGACAACTCACTGTGTAGGTAGTTGGGATATGAGATATGTGATGACGAGGCATCTCGACTGTCGTGATCGAGATGGGAGAGAAATAGCCGGGGGCGGCTTGCAGAAATTGAAAGTCACAGAACCAACACGCCCACAGACTCGGCGAGTATTCGACATAATAACGACCCACTCCTCTGGGTCGATCGAGCGACAATGTATTACCTCTCTGGGGCTTTTGGGAATCAGTATTCGATATCTGATATCGTCACAAGAATATGATCGGCCAATGGCTCGAGCCCCGAGACGGCGATTACTCCCCGGTGCAGCGTCTAATACATTTTTTGCTCGCAAACACCGTTGAACAAAGCATTGAAACCGGGGTTGGGATACACACAGCTTGGCAGCACCATTGCATGGTACATACAAGTTGTGTTGCCAACGCAGCTTGCATGGGCTCGAGATCATGATCACCGAAATCTTAGCAAAACGTATTCCCAGATTTTTAACCTGGAGAACTTATCGTTGCCAGCGCTGTCAACCAGTCGCTTGAATATCTCGTCAACAACAGGCCTTGCAGCTGCGATAAACATCTCTTGCTATATAAGCCAAAGGCCTTTGGCAGAGTCTGCCGCACACCGTGACACGGTGTGACAGCAGGCTCACGGAACCCGGCCTGTTAGGGGAAAGGAGCATGATGAGATGCTAAAGTCAGGACGTACAGGCTACAGACTTTCAGCGCAAACCCATAGTTTGTCCCTAGAAGCTGCAACAACGGCGATTCGTGTCTTTTACAGCCGGGCTATCACTGCCTGCCCATTCTATGTTGTACCGACTGTCCGGTCGTAGCCCGCCTTGGCTACGGGACGGGCATATGCAGGGCCCCACAACGCCGAACGCGGCCGGTGTTCTCGGTCTTGAACCAGTTTAGGAATCGGAGGGCACAGCGGGGCCGAGTTATCCCCGACAGTCCATCCGCGACTCTCCACAATTCCCGGACCCAGAGTGCAACATACATAAGATCCTATAATCTGTCTCGCCTCCTTCGGTCATTACGAATTGAACTTCTCTTTCGGTTCCATTGTTCGGCATCCAATCTGACTTTTCGATCGGCTCAACGCCAGGATGCCAACTCAGACAACGACTTAACTATAGAAGTCAGGATCTCGGCCCGACTCTTCTGAGCGCATCACTCACATCGGCAGTCGATACGGAGTACAGGATTTTGCGTTGTCTTAATTGGCCAGATCTCCACCTAGGTTTATGGAGTACCTACACGGACGGAATCTAGGGAATCAGCAGGAATCAGGAACGACCCGCTTGCCCTCACTTCTTCCAAATCATGAGTGCCATATTCGCCCCGGTTAAAAGGGGCAATCGGAAACAAGTGCACTGCAACTAGTTCGATGCAAGAGAGTAAGCATCAGCTGCATTGCAGTCTCGTCACGGGGGACACCTGCGGTTCCTCCGCTCTCTCTTACATGCAATGTCTTAGGTAGGTAAACATAATCTATCGCACGTACGGAGTATGAGGGTATAATATTCCACCACATAAGCTAAAGAACATGCAACTGCTTTGGTCATCAAGGGCACACAGAGGATGCCGCTTCCTAGGTCGAGGCCGTGAGGCTGATAGTGATTTTGAATTGGGCCGCTGCGCTAGAGACACCACCTGGCCGGAATCGAGACCGACAAGCCATCGACCAGGATCATGGGAAACAGATGGTGTGGATCCCCTGTTCGATCCGTCCTATCGGGATGTCTTGGTCCCTGAGGCTGAGCTACGATTGGGTAGCGAGACGATGGGTTTCGTCACTTCATGTACTGCCAACTCAGAGCTTCCCCTCCCTCCAACCTTGAAGCTTGCACCCTCATCAAGCCGCCCCAGCCTCCTCCATTTTAACTCAAGGAGACTCGAGTTGGGTTCTGCGCTCTCTCGCTGCTGCCAGTCAGATGGTTTAGTGAGATCATTCCGAGTCCAATTGAGCTGGGTGACCGAAGAGCTACACGTAGGCTGAGTTCCAAGATGTCGGGTGTGGGCCTGACGACCTAACGTTGCTTTCCAGGAGCTTCTACCCTGGATGACGATATTGTAGTGCCTCCTTTCAGGCCATCTTGCACTCATCTTCCACGCAAGTTAATTCCCATTGAGTGAAGTGCCTTGCTTCTTATCGTTAGCGTTGGTGTGCCTCTCATCTTGTGCATTGAACTGATAATTAGGCGCGGTCCAAGCCGCTGCCGCACAAGGGAATGTCGGCCTGAACTGCAGATGTAGTGTAAGCCTGACTGACCGCCTTTAAGCTAGAGAGTGCGGGGGGTGCTAAAAGCGACCGAAGCGCTCCTTCTCTGTTCGTTGCCTTGGTCCGACACCTTTTGATCCAAAGTGATGGACTAGGAGATGTGAAGCCATCTCACACCCATATCTGTGTTTGCTATTCAGCCCGACTGGTGACAATAGTTGTGTAAGCGTTAGCTTTGGAACAACAGACCAGCTGGATGAAGCCTGTGAGCGGGTGAGCTATCTAGAGGGCCCGTGCCTCCGATAGTGCTATCCCCTGGGCCTTGCAGCAGTCACTAACGCTTGGCTAACTTATGGCAGCTTCCATTGGAGTGCTCGGACCCGATCCTGTCAAAATTCACCTGTCGGTCAGGGCAAAAAACCAACAACAGCTCTGCAAGCTTTTCGACTTCAATCGAAATTGATCACTCGTTTCTAGCCATTGGGTCCCGAGCATGCTCTGCAACACCGACCAGGAACCGTAATTCCACATTCCTTCGTTTGCACCGCGTGACGGTTCCAGTGGCCGTGTCCAGGCGGCGGTGAGTGCCGTGGGTTGGAGCTTCCGTGAGCTCTGATGGTCGGGCATCGAGAGTCGCGATACTGAGGGGAAAACAACAACGACTCTGAGCGTGATGCGACTGTGATAAGCACCGCCGACAGCTCATCTCTTGTCGCAGGGCACGACAATTTCAGGCGCTGGATGCCCTAAGCACACGCGACCAAAGTCTCTCTTTTACTCGTTTGCAATTTTCCAGGTTTTTGGGATTTTTAGCGCTGCTGTTTTCCAGGAGCCCAATCGCCTACACCAGAACCTGGAAGCGATTTTTGGCCATTGCCAGCCACCGCACTTTTCGAGTCCCGCCTCCCGGATTTCTGCGCAGCGCCCAACCACTGCCCCTTCCAAGCTGCCAGAAGTCCTTCAGCATCCAGAGAGCAGGCTCTTACCTTCATTCTTCTGTGCATCCATTCCAAGGACACTACTCCATAGTTCTCAGGGAACGCAGAGCTCCCTGCTGAACACACACATCCCCCCATACCTCCTCGTGATCCTCCAGGGTGAGTCTTGTTCCCACCTCAAGGGCATTCTTGGCTGCCGATGGTGTGCCACAGCATCTGACCTTCCGCACAGCGCCGGGCTGTAGCAGCAAAGTCTCGTCACCACATCGTGTGGTGACTGTTCGCCTTGTCGACCAAACCGGCGTCCGCTGGTGCTCTGGGAGACCTTGCTGCTGGCAGTCAAGAAGCGTCGTCCCCTCGTAACCCAAGCGAGTTTCACGGCCCAATTACCCCCGAACAGCGCCAGCGACGGACGCTTCTTCGCCAACAAGAGACCACAATTCCCCGACAAGACGATCGATCGCCTACTCCTTCTCAACGACCGCTGCGCCGAACTCCCCGTTTCTCCGCCAGTCCTAGTCCTCGGCCATCCGAGGCACATCGTCGAGTCCACCTTGAAGCCGCCACAGTTGGCATCAGCCCCCGGCCCCTTTTCTCGACAGCTGGTGACCCTGTCGAGTTCAGGCAGTTTGAGCGAACCTTTGACCCCCTCCGACGGCAGCTCTCCCAGGACCTCAGCGACGATCCCGAAGAAGCGTCAACTGTCCGGCCGTCGTCCTCCAGCCCCAAACGAGAACACTCTACTTCGACGAGGCGCGACCTCCACCCCGCAGTTCGACTTTCTAAGCATACCAAGAGTGCTATACTTTGGACCCTTGAGGAAGCGCTCAGAAAGCCCTATCCCTTTACTCCAGATCTTGTAGAAGAGAGCGCGCCGATGGCCGATCTCCTAAGCGGTGGCACCGGCCCCGTCACCACCAATGGCCACAGCGCGTCCTCCTCCCGGCCAACTGCACCCCCTGCCCAGACCGGATCTCCGCAACAAGTTATCCGGGGTCCTCGAATGATCATGCGGGAGCGGGCCGAGCGTGAAGCAAGGCAGCGGGCAGAAAGAGAACAGATGGAGCGCGCTCGTGCTGAGGAAGAGGCTCGTCTACTGGAAGAGACACGACGGCACGCCGCCGCTGGCGCTGTTCCAGGCGGTAGTGACTTACCCTCGGATCCGGCAGGCCAACGCCGGCAACAGCGCGCACAGGAGGCCGCAGGGTCTTCGCGGATTCCGGCTAGCATGCCCTCGGCTTCGGCACAGCAATCGGCCACTGTGCCGCCACTGCGTCCAAGTCGGGTCCCGGCGACAACCCAAGCACCTCAGAATCCCGGCTCTGCACCTCAGCCTGGGCCCGGCGCGTCGGGGCCTACCCAGTCGGGCGAGACGTCGACCCAAGGAGTCGGCACAAGCCGGCTCAAAAACTCATTCCCTCATGCTTTTGAGCGGTGGGAGGCCCTCTCCGCCCACTGGGAAGGCATGACGAGCTTCTGGCTGAGGAGGCTGCAGGAAAACACGGATGAGGTCGAACGTAACCCGATAACATCTCAGCTCTCTCGGCAGGTTCATGACCTCTCGGCCGCGGGCGCCAACCTCTTTCACGCCGTTGTCGAACTGCAGCGGCTTCGCGCCAGCTCTGAGCGCAAATTCCAGAGGTGGTTTTTCGAGACACGGGCTGACTTGGAAAGGCATCAGGAGGTCAACGCAATGCTGGAAGCCCAAATGGAGCAGGAGCGACAGGCGAGAGCCGACGCTGTGCGGAACGCAGCACAGCACGAGGCCGAGAATGCGAAGCTCCAAAAACTGCTGACCGAGATGCGCCGAGAACTGCATATCTCCAAGGAAGAGGCGCGCCGCGCCTGGGAAGAATTGGGCCGTCGTGAGCAAGAAGAGCGAGAACGTACCCTCTCGCTCCAGCAAGGTCATCCGACCATAGTTGGAGGAGTACAGGTAGTGCCCATGAACCAAGGCGTCCTGAGCCGCCATACAAGTCACCGCCAAGCTGCCGATACCTCAGAATACATAGCCGCACAAGGAGGCCAGTACCCAGATTACGCTGGTGCTGGGGCTGGGCCCACCGCTCAGCCAGCTGCGACTTCAGCTGGCGATCAGAGTGCTGGCTTCTACCAGCAGCAGCAGCAGCAGCAAAAACAGCAGCAACAGCAAGAGCCCCCTGGCCACCACGGAGGCGATTACGGGACCGGTTCCGAGGCCGGGTATAGCGAGGGTGAGTATATGATTGATGCGAGGGGCAATTTTGTGAGGGACGAGCATGGCAACAGAATCCCCTTCCACAGCCCTGCCGCGTCGCCGAGCCAGCATCATCGAGCAAGGAGGTCTGACGCTGCTGCAGAGGACTATGAGACGCCCAGCTCGCAGCAGGCGCCTCATCCCACGAGCTATCCGCCGTCAAGCTCGCATTGGGCTGCAGGCGGGTACACGGGCGGAGGAGGGAACCCTGAGTATTCAGGCCAGGGCTACGCGGCGCCTGGCTGGGAAGCAATGCCCCGCCATCACCACCCCACTCGGCTGAGCGACGTCATTGAGGAGGACGAGCGAAGCCGCACCTCAGTAAGCCAAGTGAGCCGTCCATGAACAAGGAAGGAGCGGAAGTGAGTGGCCGGCTTTGTGTATGGGGGCCTGTACCACATAAGCCACCGTTTCCGCGCCGAATCCGTTCGACACACGAGTCGAGGGGACCAATATAACACGATCGACTTTTTCCCTGGGTCTATTCTAGACTTGTTTTTTACCCTCTCCCACAGCAAAAGATGGAAACTGCATAGCGCTGGCATTTTATCACACGGCAGGGGAAACGGCTTGCATTTTGTTGGAGACGAGCATGCATATGCAGCAGAGAACAGCACAGCACACTTACAGCGAGCGGCCTTTCACTTCTGGGAAGCACGCCTCGGTCAGCATCTGGCGGCTATGATGGTTCAAAAATTTGTTATGCTTTTTCTCCCTCGATAATGCACCGACGAATTCATACGAACTACGATGGGACGATACATCTTTGTGGGGAAACGGCTTTTGTTCGGGTTATGTTCCATATCTTGCGTTTCATTTCTCTCATACCTGTTCAACCAACCCTTTTGCTTCTTCTATTCTGTCCATTTACGAGGAGGATGGCGAGGGCGTGGCGTGGCGTTTCTTGTCTGATGACAAAAAGAAAAACATGAAGAAGGAGGGCTCAACCGTTCTGCTGAGATACACGCCCTCCAAGCGGACAGGGAGACCATGGGAGAATGGCCACAATCGACCTGGAAGCTGCGGTCATGAGAACGGCTAGACGAACGACATTTGGCATGGCATGGCGGGGCGTGGGATGTTCTTGTTTGCGTTTTTACTTTCTTCTTCTTCTTTCAGGTCCCTTCCCTCTTTAAGACGACATGGCGGACTTCTCGGTTCCAGTTTGTCCTGTTCTAGGGGGTTCCTCTTTGCCTTGCTTTCGGCTGTTGGCCGGTTTCCGTTGTTTTCGTGGCTCGGCTGTTTGCTTAAGGGGAAGGTGGGGGGCGGTAATCGTAATGGAAGACAGGACAGAAAGGGCGGCGATAGTCGTGACGAGCGCCGCCGACTCACGGAGCGAAGAGTGGAAATCATGTGTGTGCAGTCGAGGAGGGATGGAAGACGGAACTGAGGAAGGCCTCCTTGTACTTATAGGGAGAAATGGAACCTGATGTTCATTCGGCCATGAGGCGTGGAGCAGATCATGGTGCATTCATTGCCTTCTCTTCCAGTGTCTGTGGATCCCAGTGAGGGATCTAAGAAGGTTATCTGGTACGCCTGGCCCATCTCGAGGACACAACTGACTAACCTAACATATTGATTCTTGAGATGCTATCGTTGCTCATACGAGGTAGGCTTTGTTCAAATCCTTATCAACGACTCAGGTTTGAAGGCTACTTGTGCGCACCTGGCGGGAATAGGTTTCAGCTCGCCGCCTGGGCCAACATTGGTCATTCAACCTGATATTCGAATCGCTTCAGAGCACGGTTCTGTATTTTCTCACACCAGGTAGTTATTCTGATGCCAACATTTCGAGGTCGAAATGTAGGTTGATCTCCAGTTAGGTTGCCTGGGACAGGGAGTTAATGATAGGTGGGGCAGCCCCTGGCCGTTGGCAAATACATGCTGTAATATAGCGGGGGCGGCCCGCTAAAGCAACCGCTACGCGTAAAGCAACGTGCCTGTGTAGAACTTCAACCTGTGCTTTCTCATGACGCTCAAGTGAGCGAAGTACTTGTACCATTGCCTGGTTTCATTATTGTTCGAAAGGTGCGCCGTATACAATCCTAATGTTTGACTTTCTGCTAGACTCATTCTAACTACTTCGTACCCACCTACCTTAGCGATCGGATTTGTCTTGGTCAAATATTGCACGGCGTTAGAGGGGGGATCTCAGGTTGCTCAGAAAGGGCACGGGGAGAGATGGCGGGTGTCCTGACTCCTTTTTGCAGGTAAATCTTAAAGTCAATCGAAATGCTATCTATGAACCTTTCTCTAACTTATAACTTGTTGCAGTTGCCTACGTGGGCTGACGACCTCGTCCGGTCCACGCAGGGCGGCCATCGCGGCGTTATCATCTCGCCGGGTAGCTTACTACCATATAGCTGCGAGACGAACCTTCGCATGGTCAGCAGCCAGGAAGCACCAGCTGCAAATTTGCTCCGGTGGGGGCTTCAAGAACGAAGCCAGCCCCGGCGAGGTTGAGCCGCCGTCCTTTGGCTTTGCTTTCGAGTGGGTTTCGCTCCTTTTTTTTAAAGTCAGGATCATTGGCTAATTGAGGCCGCATCAGCATCGATGGAGTCCTGCTCCATGTCGCAAAGCCGATCCCAGGTGCGCCCGCGGTTTTGAATTTTCTCAATGAGCACAACATTCCCTTCATTCTTCTCACCAACGGCGGAGGCAAGCACGAGAACGAGCGCGTGGAGGATCTCAAGCAGAAGCTCGGTGTGCAGCACCTATCAACAGACAATTTTATCCAGTCTCACACCCCTTTCCGTGAGCTTGTTGATGGTCCTGACGGCCTTCGGGACAAGACCGTTCTGGTGACGGGATCTGACCCTGCCAAGTCCCGTGAGATCTTCCAACAGTAAGTAGATACATCCACTCATCGCCAGGCACGGTGGACTGAGCGGCATTTTCGCAGGTACGGCTTTAGAAACGTCGTCACCCCTTGGGATATCTACGCCGCGTACCCAGCCGTGTTCCCTTTCGAGACTGTCCTGTCATCATCAGGCCCGACGGCACTGCCCACTCAACCTCTCCCTAAACCCATCTATACCGGCACTAACGCCGCAAGCCCCAACGTCGACCTTACCGGTCATCTAAAAATCGACGCCATGTTCGTCACAAACGACCCGCGCGAGTGGGCACTCGACATCCAACTCCTCTGTGACCTGCTCCTGTCTCACAGGGGCTACCTCGGGACGCACTCGCCCAAGAACGGTGACGCATCCCTCCCCAACGGCGGCTGGCAGCAGGACGGGCAACCGCGGCTCTACTTCAGCAACGCCGACCTGGTCTGGAGCACGGGCTTCCACCTGCCGCGGTTCGGGCAGGGCGCGTTCCAGGCGGCCCTGCGCGGCGTCTGGAGCCGCATCACGGGAGGGCACGAGCTGGAATGCACCGTCATGGGCAAGCCGCACGGGGCGACGTACCGGTTCGCCGAGCGCGTGCTGGCACGCCACAGGCGGGACACGCTCAGGGCCCTGGGCCACTACCACGACGAAACGGAAAAGGGAATCGGCCCGCTCAAGACGGTCTACATGGTCGGCGACAACCCGGAGAGCGACATCGCCGGGGCCAACACGTACGCCAGCGAGAGCGGGACCGAGTGGGTCTCGGTTTTGGTCAAGACGGGTGTGTACGCCCCTGAGAGGGGCGGGAAGCTCGAGGGGAGGTTCGAGCCGAGGGTGATCGTGGATGATGTAAGCGCCGCGTTGCGATGGGCGTTGGCCAGGGAGGGGTACAAGTACGCTCGGCCGGATCTGGGTGGGAAGTAAGTGAGATTCCATACCATACAGGTGCGTGAGTTGGACATGTATCGCGGCCGTCGTGTTGTACATACATTGAATGAGTGTTAGACCGGGTTGCCGGATGGCTGATACCATGGGTATTTCGAGACGAAGGACCACGGCATGAAGCATTGATGAGGTAGACTCTAGTATGGGTGGTCTCACACGACCAATACCGGCCCAGAGTTGATTGTGAGCAAACTTACAGGTTCCTGGTCACACTCTCTATCCATGGCTTCCTACTGCTCACAAGGGAGAGCTTTCCATGAATTCCATCCCGTTAGACAAGCCATCTAGCTCTGGCTGTGCACTATCCCATCAAAAGTCATTGATTACCTGGTCTTGTGGTCTAGTGGTATGATTCTCGCTTAGGGACAACCCTACAGCATTCTGTTGCGAGAGGTCCCGGGTTCAATCCCCGGCAAGACCCAGTACATTTTGTTCCTTCCTTCTGCTTTTTTGTTCGATCACTGTTATCTGCTTGGGTTTCAGAGCGTCATACGGAGTACACATACTCTTCTCACTCCCTATCATAGCAATCGATCATCTCTGAATGACAGCTGACAACAAGGGATGTTCTATCCACGCCGAGGAGTCGGGAGACGGCCAATGATCCAGGCCTAATGTAGCGAACACACTATTACTCGGTTGAGCACACCTTCAGTAGCACGAGTAGGTGCCAAGCTGTGAGCAGGTCCGGAAACCGTGTCTGCGGTGGCAGCGGGATAATCTATACATGTAGTGTATCGCAAATAGCCGGCAGAACTTCACTTTATCCGCTGCTATTTTGGTGGCCGGTCTCCGTCCCCGTGGTGCGTTTTGCCCACCACAACGGAAGCCAAATCTGTGCAGTCCCGGGACCCTCCGTGCGAATCACCACGTCACGGACATCGGCAGCCGACCTCTGGAGACGTCAGTCATGCACGCCCCAACCCAACCACTACCTTTAATTTCCAGACTCCCGGATTCAATTATACACGCGTACGATACGGTACAGACACGAAGGCAGGAGCAACCGCATTCGCATGCCGCCGTTGGCTGGCCTCCGTTTATATAGGTAGCATGTAGTCGTTCAGGGCTTCAACATATACACTTGGTATCCGAACTCAGTCAGGATGAAGGATGGACTTCAGCTGGTGCATTCTTTCTGTTGTACCTCGTATGGTAAACTGCATACTTGTTGATTCGCTGCCCGGGCCTGCCGTGTGGCACGGCGCAGCCTTCGTTGCAGTTCCAGATCTTGGGTTTCGCTAGTAGAATCTTGGCGAAGTCAACATCAGATAGTGTACTTGTACATATCATGCTGACCCAAGTGGCCGGTCACATATCCTCCATATGTTAGGTACGAATGCCACTCCATTGCACAATCTTCCCGCGTTGATATCAATATGGGGGGCAACTAACAAGGCCGACTCACCGGGCCTCTATCATGCCCGGTTACCCCGAAGTTGGCGGAGGCGGGCGGATCCCGGAAGCTCAGCTCTTGGCACCTTGGCCGCAGATTAGGTACGAAGTATGGAACATAAGGATTACCGCCGCTCTAATCAACCTGTTTGCATCGTTAAGATACATGTAGCCACAGTCCGCTCCCCACTCGAGTAAGGTCTCCTCTGGCACAGGTCAGAATTTATATGCCCTGAGTCTGCCTCGATCATGTGAGGCTGTCCGGCGGTTCGCCAAAAACGGTGCTGGTGGTCCACGGAGACGGCAGATAAGAAGCGTCCAGGGTGCCGATATTAAGCTTGGGTTAGCGCTGTCGTGTCATTGGTCAAAATGGTTGGGACGCTCCCGTTTGCAATGCATCAGGGCAGAAGAGTGGCAAAGCAAAAATACAGGCTTGAAATTCGTCGGAAATTCAGCTGCCGTTTTCACACCGTTTAGGTATTCCTCAGTTACTTAGACTCTTGTTTTCCAGCAATTCGGTGACAAGGTTGTGGAGAAATTGATTCACACGGCCGAGATAGCTCCCTGAGCCATACACCATGTGAGAAGACGTCAGGCTCCAACAACCATCGCTTCGTCGTCGCTTCCATCTCATCACAGGACATTAGCGTTATCGCATCTCGATCGAGGAAGGCGCACGCTCACGCGAACGGTCGGCGACCAGCCCCAGGTTCTTGGGTGGACGTCCCCGCTTTTCAGCGGGACTGCCCCTGCCATCTCATCGGGATCCCAACCCATTGACCAGCCATCAAACCAATTTAGGCAGGTCAGCGTAGACGAGGGGTCCGCGAGTCTGGCTGCTTGCGTGCTTCCAGAAGCAAGGGCTCCTCCCACATCTTTTGCATCTTGTCCCGCTCAACCGGTGGCCAATCTCCAGTGCACAGGGCGTGTAAGCTTGTTAGGTAGTGTAAGTTACCGTTGGAAACCCACGTTTTCCCTCCCGAAGCTCACTCTTCTTCTGTCGAGCCCTCACCCAATTCCAGCCGATCAGCCTTCAGCCCCAGCGAACCCCTCTCCCTCCCTCTCGTTCAGCGATCTGCGCGAAGCGTATCCAGGCAGCCATGTCCACCTTCAACTGACATTGATTGTTCCCTGTCTTAATTAGCTGCCCCTGCGCTCGTAGGCGCTAATCTCGACGACGCTCCTTACCTCGCCGCCGACGCTTGCAAGTCGATAAACACAGCGTTCGCTTCCCCGGGCCCGTCGCCCGCCGAGAGCACGGAACGGCATTGCGCATTTCACCGCTCGCTAGAAGAAAATGGCGCTGGGGAACCTCAGGAGGTATATCTGGTGGCGGCGCGAGGGTGAGGTGGTGCCGGACCCGGATGGATCGGTCGGATCGATTGAAGGGGACAAGATCGGGTTGGCGTCGCTGAAACAGTTCGAAAAGATGCATCGGCTTGACCCGAACCTGCCGCTGGACGAGTTGGACGAGATCGAAGAGACGATAAACACGGCCAATGTCGAGAAGGGGGCCGAAATCGAGCAGATCTTGGCCGAGGACAATTCGCCCTACCCAGAAGTGAGACTCTTCCAAACTCGCCTCTACCCGCTGCATTGTGCTGCTGGAAAGATGCTGGATGGGGAGGAAAACTGAATATCCGTCTTCTAACGTTGGCGTTTCTCATCAAAGGTGCGAGCCTCAGTGCGAAATTTCGATGTCGATATGCCTGCGAACACGATCCGAGCCTGGACGATTGGCATGTTGCTGTGTACTGTCGGGTCTGCTGTCAACATGCTCCTCTCGCTCAGAAACCCAAGCATATCCCTCACGACCTTCGTCATTCAGCTGATTGCCTATCCCTTGGGCCTACTATGGGACCGGGTATTCCCCGACCGAGTGTTCAATGTGTGCGGTGTCAAGTTCAACTTCAAGCCCGGCCCCTTCAACTTCAAGGAGCACGTTATTATTGTGGTCATGTCAAACGTAGGTCAACCCCGAAAGCAAAGGGAAAGTGCTATTGCATCGCTGGGGCTTGATGGTTGACAATTCTTCCTCTCCAGGCTGCGTACGGCGGTGGTGCCTTGTACGCTACCGATGTCATCATTTCGCAGAAAATGTGGTATAAGCAGGAATTTGGTTGGGCCTGGGAAATGATGTTCGGCATTACGACCCTCTGCACGGGATATGGGCTGGCCGGACTGGCAAGAAGGTTTCTGGTCTGGCCGGCTGCCATGATTTGGCCGACTGACCTCGTCAACTGCGCCCTTTTCTACACCCTTCACGACCATTCTCCTTCAGATCCGCTAAGAGCAAATGGCTGGAGTATCAGCCGGTATAAGTGGTTTGTGCTGGTGTTTGTCGGGTCCTTCTTGTGGTACTGGTTTCCGGGGTACCTCTTCCAGGGTCTGTCATGGTTCTGCTGGATTACCTGGATCTGGCCCGACAATGTCATTGTCAACCAGCTGTTCGGCGGCTACAGTGGTTATGGGTTGTTTCCCATCACCCTGGTAAGAGATTCAATGACATTTAACGGTCAAGAATTGCTGCTAATGTGCTTTCCCAGGACTGGAGTGTCATTTCGGGCTATCTGATGTCGCCGCTAATTCCCCCGTTTCACGCCATCGCCAATGTGCTGGGCGGCCTCACCGTTTTCCTGGTCATCATCTCGCTCGGAATCCACTACTCGGGCATGTGGTACTCGGCATACATGCCAGTGCACAACGCGATGGCCTACGATAACACGGGCCACCTGTACAATGCATCGGCCATCCTGAACGAGAAGATGCAGTTCGACGAAGCCAAGTACATGGCTTACTCGCCTCTCTACCTTCCTACGCAGTTTGCGCTCGCCTACGGCTTGTCCTTTGCCGCAGTTGCCGCCGTGATTACGCACGTCGCTCTCTACCACGGCAGTGAGATATGGAATCAGTACAAACTGGCGCGGTCCCAGGAAGACGATGTCCACATGCGGCTAATGAAGAAGTACCGCGACGCGCCGGACTGGTGGTACACAGTCCTGTTCGTCATCATGCTCGGCCTCTCCTTCGCCGTCGTGTGTGCCTGGGAGACCCACTTCCCCTGGTGGGCCTACGTCGTCTGCATGCTGATCCCGCTTCTGTGGACGGTGCCCATAGGCATCGTGCAGGCCATCAGCAACATCCAGCTAGGTCTCAACGTTCTGACCGAGTACATCATCGGCTACATGCTCCCCGGCCGCCCCTTGGCCATGATGATGTTCAAGAACTACGGCTACCTGTGCATGTCGCAGGCTCTCTACTTCATCCAGGACCTCAAACTGGGTCATTACATGAAGGTGCCGCCGCGCGTCATGTTTTGGTCACAGCTCATCGCCTCAGTATGGTCGGCCATCGTCCAGATTGCCGTCATGAACTGGGCCTTGGCCACGATCCCCGACGTATGCTCCGAAACCCAGGTGCACCAGTGGAACTGTCCCAGCGCGCGCGTCTTTTACACGGCCTCGATCGTATGGGGCGCCATTGGGCCCGCCCGCATATTCTCGGGCGAGGCCCTGTACAGCTCGCTGCAGTGGTTCTGGCTGGTGGGTGCGTTGGCGCCCGTGCTGTCGTGGTTCCTGGCCAGGCGGTATCCGAGGTCGATTTGGCGCTACGTCAACATGCCGCTCATTTTTGGCGGCTCAGGCTGGCTGCCGCCCGCAACCGTGTACAACTACTACTGCTGGGGGATCGTGGGGACCATCTTTAACTATTTCATTCGGCGGAGGAAAACGGGCTGGTGGCTGCAGTACAACTACGTCACGTCGTCTGCCCTGGATTGTGGCTTGATCGTGTCGACGCTCGTCATCTTTTTCGCCCTGTACCTGAGCGGAACGGGCGCTCCGGCATGGTTTGGCAACACGGCCCCGGCGAGCACCATGGATATGACCTTCAAGGCGATTCAGAAAGTGGTGCCGCCTGGCGAGACGTTTGGGCCGAGCGTTTGGCCTTGACCGAGGGTTAATGAGTTTGGCTTTGGTTGGGTTGGGGTAGGGTTTGATAAGGAGTTAGGCTCATGGCTTAGGTTTGGTATTATGGTCTTTTTATGCTTGGGAGTTTTGGGGGACGGTTTATTTTGCAGCGTCATATTCCACGGGTCGAGCTCTTTCTTCACCTCTCTTCCCGAATTCGCCCTTGGAGGAGTGGGTCATGCGAACAACACGCGCGATCCAAAGCAAGCGGTCGAGCATCTTCTTTTGCCCGAGCGAGCCAGCGAATACCAGCAACAGGCGTTGGGAGTTTCCGAGAGTGGGGGTCTGTTGAGGGGATCTAATGGCCGGCTGCTTGCATGTTGGGTTTTGCTAGGAAAGGAGGCAGAGGAACCTTTGCAAGAGAAAGGCTAGAGACTTGCCCCTGCCTGCAAACGATGCCAGGCTCTGGGAGAGCATTGCAGGGCGGCTGGTTGTACGAGGGAGCTGACCATGTCTTCTGTTGCTGTTTGATGAGAACACGGGACAACTCGCAGTGTCCGTGAGTCTGGTGGATGTGTGTAGCGCGGTTTAAAGGAATTCGGGCTGGCCTTGTTGTACGGGCATAATGCAACAAGGTGCGCACTCAAGATTATCTCCTCTTCCGGTATTGGGACAAATATAATTGTAACTATTTTGGTTGCCTTCCCAATCTTGTAGACTAGGCATATGGCGAATCTGGTTCCTCCCCAAGGCATGTTGCACATCAAAAGAACGGGTTAGGCAAAGGGACCGGCTATAGCCCGCCCCTTTAGTTTGTGTAAGTGTCTTGAAGCAACTTCCATTCGATATCAATCCCCCCGTATCCCCCTACCGTGACAAGTGCATCACTTTCCGTTTGTGGAAGCAGAGTCACGTTTGCCCATCGACCTCAGTCCCCTGCCCCTCACTGCTACCATTACCATCCCCCTTCCCAACCCCTTCTCCCCCTTCCCTTGATTCACCCTCCCTCTGACCCCTCTTCCCGTCGCGATTGGCCCTCCACACGCCGCCGCCATGGGCAAACTCCTCTTTCTTCCACACCTCAACGCGCTCCTTGCACTCCTCGAGCGCCTCTTCGCCGGCGCGCCAGGCCGCCTGGCGGTGGGGCGCAGACACGGCGATCAGGATGCTCTCCTCGCCAATGGGCACCACGCCCAGCCGGTGGACCATGGCTAAGCCCCTGAGGTCGTGTTTTGCGCGGAGCGATGAGGCGATCGTCATCATGGTCCGCAGGGCGAGGGGCTCGTAGGCCGTGTACTCGAGTTGCTTGACCGGTTGGCCGGCGAAGTTGTCTCGGGTAGTTCCTGGATATGATTGGAAAGGAATGGGGGAGGTGGTTAGGGGCGGCTGGGAATGGGATAGGGGTAGGGGTAAGGGGGTGGGGTGTTGGAAGGAGGGGAAGTGGAAAGGATGGGAAGGGGTAAACATACCGGCGAAGAGCACGATTGCCCCTGCTTGGGGACTCCGGACGCGGTCGGTGACGGATTGGAGGTTGAGCGGGGAGGTGGTTAGGGCGACGTAGCAGCCCTCTTGCTGGAGGAAGGTTTCGGGCTCGTCGGGGGCTGAGGAGGGGTTGATTTGGTCTTGAGAGGCCATTCTGGAACGACCTTGGCGGTGTTGTGTATAAGGTAGTATACGTCAACAGAGTGAGTTGCTGAGGTGCTGTAAGTGCCTCTGTCAGTCACCTCACAGGCACCTGAACCGGAATAAGTTACTAGTAAGGACACCACACGCCCAAGTGCCGCACAGTGTCTGCTCAAAGCACTTCAATAGGTATTGAACAACTTTGAGAAGAACTGCGGTTCCAGGCTCAGTAAGTCCCTCTAGCTAATGGAACGAGAAACACAGAGAGTGAAGCAACACGATGTGAAAATGAAGTGCATGTGCCGTCGCCGGCGAGGGGTTGTTACTCTGGAGTACCTCAGCGAGACCCGCCTTAGGGTACAGCCCCCGCGGGTCCTTTGCTCGTCTTTTCTGGTGATAAACTCTGCAAGAATGAGGTTTCGTGATGACTACCCTCTTCACCTTTGCGCTCTTCCAAGGTTTGCAACAACGACAATCAACATTGTTCAGTGACTGAAAGGGAGCAAAAGGGACGGAGTACGGACCATCGATCTTAAGAGTCTCTTCAACCCGCTCATCACCACCGTTATCGTCCTCCAATCCGCACGGACCTTATCGTCACGATAACCGGCAAATCTTCGGCATTTCAACCAAGCTTAAACTGATCGTCTTCATTGGACAGGGTGAGCTCAACATCTCTCTTGTCCTTCATCTTGGCTTCTGGCCGCAGAACAGATACATACATAGACAGCCGACGGCGGTCAAAATCTTTGCTTTTTCTTCCTTCCTGCGTTTCCTGCATATTTCGTCCTCCATGGACCCGAGCGGGCAACGCTCCTCTTCTCGCGACGATGGAGGCTACCGCGACCGCGACCGTGACCGCGGTCAGCGGAGCCCTCCGCCGCGTCGCTACGACGGCCGAGATGGCGACTATCGCCGGTCGAGGAAGGGTACAATGAACCCAACACAGTTAAATAGCTGATTAACCTAGCGATTGCTCGTTTCTGAGCGCTTAGCGGTTGTAAAGATGGGGCCGAAAATAGCTAACTTTGGTTGTCTTGCCTCTGCCTGCAAAAAGAAGATCCGCCGGGCCCTCCTAGAGACCTGAACTACGACGACGACGCTGACGGCGCCGACCAAGACGATTATCGCATGCGCGGAAATAGATACCCCCCAGCCGACGGAAGCTATGGTTCACTTCCTTCAGGTATGCGGCGTGGTGAGCATAGCCCTGGTTATCGCCCTGGCGGCTTCTCTGAGACACATCCCTTGGGACGAGACGATGCCATTGGTCGCTCGTATCACAGAGGCCATCACGATGGGCATTATACTACTCCTGATGTCGAGACGCGTGGACATGCGCTTTATCCTACTCGGGACTCTGGTGGCCGCCAGGCTAGGCATGGCCACAGCATGGACAGGCGTGTGAGTGGCTCCGGGAAGGCCGTCATTCTCGAGGGTCTTCCCGAGGATGCCACAGAGCGTGACGTGAGTCGGCCCTTGCTGCTTGACCCCTTATCATCATCTGCCGACAGCTTATCTCACACTGTTTGAAAGATCCTCTACGGTCTCGACTATGTCACCAGGGACCGCCATTTTTCGACCGACCAGGTGAGGGTCGCTCGACTCCGCTACGACCAGAACGGTACTTCTTCCCCCCTCCGCGTACCTCTTTTCCCTTTCTCGTTTCCCACATCAAGACCACCGCTTACTCCTGCCACAGGCACGAGCATTGCCTACGTCGAATTTCATCGCAGGTCGGATGCAGAATATTTCCTGGACCGATACTACCCTGACATTACTTTCCGTCTCGAGCATTCACGCGGCATGGACTCGGAACCCATTACCGTAGGCGTCAGCTCCCCAAATGATCGTGACGAGACGACTTCGGCCCGCGGCCCGCGCAGAGACGACGACGGCTGGGACTGCATCAAGGTAAATCATTCCAGACTGGAAGCCATGTTCATTTGCTGACAATTCAAAGTGTGGTGTTATCAACTACCCTCACCGCGCTGTGTGCTACAAGTGCAAGGCTGAGCGGCCTGGTGAGTGACGATTCCCGGACTGCGTCTGGCAGATTTCGCTAACCATGGCAGACGACGGCGGCTATGGCGCTTCTGGCCCCCTCCTTACTGGCGAGACAGACGAGGACCCCCAGCAGATGCCGTCACAGTACGTCGTTGTTCGGGATCTCGAGGGGTCCGTCACCGAAGAAGTGCTTGCCAAAGGCGTCATGAAGCTCTTTGTCGAGAACACGGAGCCCGCAAAGGATGCGCCAACATCGACAAATAAACTCAAGTCCACAGCGCCCACAAATAGCACGGCCGGCCTTGGAGCGAAACCGGGCTCGCTCCGTCGCGTGTTCCTGATGCGGGACCGCAGAACGAACGAGTCATGGAGGTATGGATTTGCCGAGTTCGCAACCGTCGAGGACGCCAAGGCAGCGGTCGCAAAGTTCCGCGCGTCCACCAAGTTTACGATTGCGTCCAGACCTGTCGTGGTTGCTTTCATTCACACAGGCGTCTTCGTTCCTGCCCTCGACGCCGCCACGACAACGGAGAACCCAGAGTTCTCCTTCACCCCTATTTACAACCCCGCAGTCCGCATCAAGTACTGGGATGACCGCGCCTACCCAAGCGTCCAAGTAGTTTCGCTCGACCCCGCGTCTGCCGCCGAAAGCCCAGAGAAGCCCAGCGCCTCCGATGACGCCACCAAGGCCGCCGCGAAACCGGCGAAGAAGGCCAAGAAAGACAAGGAGCCCGCCACTGGCAATAAGGTTGCCATGATGCCACAGGTGCAGCTGTGGAAGAAGGCCTCGGTGCAGTTGCACGGCGCCAAGCCAAACGAGGATGCGGACGCGGCTGTGGACGAGCCATCAACCCTTGAGCGACCCCGGTCGCTCAACCCGACCGCCACCACCGCCAGCAGCCACGACGCCGAGGAGATGCACCCGGATGGGCCGGTAAACCCCCAATTTGGGGACCAGTACCTTTCGTACGCTGACTGGGACACGATGATTTGTCTCGTCTGCAACTGGAAGCCGCCCACCGAGGAAGAGATCAAGGAGCGCGGCTGGCCCCAAAGCCGAGGCGATCTCCTCATTGAGCACGAGTGCCGCGACCATGATTTCTACAGGGACGCCGATGCAAAGGAAAATGCGTCTGCTGCGCTCGCCGCCCTAGGTAGGGAACCACGCACCATTGTGCGCCGCACCCCACGGCTAAAGTCCGAGCCGCTGCCCGTCTACAAGTCGTACGCAGATTACGAGGCCCTGCGGTGCGTCCTCTGCAAGCGCACCTTCAAGGAGGTCAGGATGATCTGGCTCCACGAGCAGCAGAGCGAGCTGCACAAGCGTATGCTGGCCGACCCAGAAAACCGCAAGCGTGCCGTGGAAGAATTCAAAGCCATGGGCAAGAAGATGTACCTGGTCGAACCTGATCCCGAGTTTAAGAAGATGTGGGAACTGCAGCGCCAGGTCGTGGTCAAGCCGCAGGGCCAACAGTATCGCGACCGGGCGCGCGAGCGGAGGCAGGCTTTTGGCCAGCCCAAGCAGGCCGCTGCTGCTGTTGTTGGTGTTGCGGCCAAGATACCCGAGAAGCGTAAGGAGCTTGGGGGTGCGGCGGAGGCGGAGAACAGCGAGGGAGACGGCCCCTCTCAAAAGAAAGTCAAGTCGTCAAAGGGCGCCGGCATGCTCGCGAAGATGGGCTGGACCGCAGGGGCCGGGCTCGGTGCTGAGGGCGCGGGACGCACCGAGGCCATCGCCGCCGAGGTCTACGTCCCCGGTGTCGGGCTGGGCGCCGAGGGCGGCAAGCTGGGTGACGCGAGCGAGGAGGCGGCGAGGAATACCCGGGGCGGGTTCAGCGGGTTTGTGGAGAAGACTCGTGAACGGGCCAGAGAGAGGTTTGAGAAGATGGAGTAGCCGTTTTCTTCCCTTTCGCTTTGTCTTGTTTATGGGTACCCCCGGTCAGGGAGAGGTTTGAGGTGGTGTAGGCGCTTTTGTTTTGCTTATGGTCCCCTTCTAGATGGGTATGTATGAGTATATGGGTTTGGACGGCGCAAGGAGAGAAGGCATCATGTGGGCTGTTGCCGGGCGATTTGCACTTGGGATTGGGAGACTCTGCGATTGTGCCCGGAAGTTTACGGCAACTACTCCTTGGCACTGAAGGTATAATACCCGTCAAAGCTACGAACATGAGTTGAATTAGCTCAAGTGCGAATCCCCAATGTGTATGGGGTGCATCTGCAAAGGCTCTGCTAGTGTGAAGGTTTATGTCCTTGATGTGAACAAAGGCTGCATCTCGCATCCTGGTACCTATTGTGTGACTCAGATTGTAATTGTAGAGCTCAAGATGTGACATGTCATATAGTATTGTACATCTAGGACATGGCTGATACCACTCTTTCTCTCTCATGGCAACAATAAGATCTCGCCGGTGTCTGGAGGATTGTCTCAAACATAAGGCTCTGGGTATGTCAAAGGGGGCATGATTGAATGGTGGTGTCTCGGATGGTGCTTGAACCCTCTTGTCGTGAACTGAGTTTATAGAGAAAGGAGTAAACTAAATGGAAGGGAGCTTTGTTTTACATTCGAGGCTACCTGTCTATTACCCGCTCACTGTTCCGCAATGATGGGTAAACAGACAGGGACCGGGAACAACAAGGAGGCATCGACAGGTGCAGACGACTGAAGCTCCTGAAGAACCCCTTTCGCCTACAATTCCTTGTGCCTGTCCCCTGTACGGGTTCTCTTTGTGACGAACACAAATGGGATTGGCATGCTCACTCCTAGGGTGGCGTCAATTTTGAGGTACTATATATCTAGACCCGCTCATATCTTCCCCTCCCTTCCCTTCTCCTCTTGATGACCCAAACAATCCTCATACTCCCATTCGAACATAAAGCACCCAAACATACAACAGAAGACACGAACCCAAGCCTGTCTTGTCCTATCCAGTGAGCCAGGTACCATGCCGCTCCCAGGACCAGCTGCAGCTCTTCGCGAAGGCGGGCCAAGGGACCCGGTGGAGTTTTTCAATCTCCAGGCGGCCATGTCGGAGGCGAGTCTGATCGTCCACGGCCCGCCCGATCTGCCCGACGACGTGGAAGTGCTTGGCGCCTACGGCGTGTCCAAGGAAAACTCGGAGAAGACCAAGTACGGGTGGATGCTCAACGACTTTCTGAGCTGGATGCTTCTCTTTAACCAAAGGGGCCATAGCCAGGGTCAAGAGGTAAAAGACTAGAAATTCGGCCAGGGACTTCGGTAGTAATGGTAGTACTAACACAAGTGTTATTGTAAAGACGTGGCTGAGTTCCATCGATCTTGGTCAGCTCCTTTACCCCTCAATAGTGTCATGTCGACAGACGCTGAGACTGAGACTGAGACTGAGACTGGTGGCGTAGGCGGCGACATCATGAAGAGAATCCGGTACTTTAAGTCGGCTAGCAACGACTCTTTTTAAGCGTTGTTCAACGGAGGCCTCTCCCTTTCCATGCTGCGGGCAATGAGAAGAAAGGCGGCGCTGTTCATCATGATCTTTGCGCCCGTCACCCCGGACCAGGATATCTGTCTTGATTTGGACGGCGAGAGAAAGGAGTGGCTGAAGGTCGAGCACATCTGCGACCTGGTCCGCAAGGCAGCCTACGGGTATGACAACCATATCCCAGTCACACTGATGACACCGTCGCCGCTCACGGGGGGTTGGTCGTGCCGCTCGTTGCTGCTCGGCCAAGGCCAAGGCGGCGCGTACTTTCCTGACATCGCGATACGCATGGTTGCGCGGTCGTGCGGCGGCGCCTTTGCCCACCGCCTGGCCGAGTCCTTCACGCAGCGGGACACGCCCCTCTTCTCTGACGCGCAGCGTCGGGGGATCCAAGTGAGAGATTATGGTGCGTCGCTCATGCCCACGCAGCCGACGGCGCAACAGACGGCTTTGCTTTACCAGGTCCAGGCACAGATCCACGAATCGCTGAGACAGAGAATGAAATCGCGCCTGGCGCGGCAGCACGCCCTCATCGTGCATCCTAAGGGCGATGCTTGGTCTGGCACATACAACCGTTGGCCCGAGTCCGGTGCTACCGCTACTAGTGACTCCCCCAGCGCGGATCGATACTTTAAATTCCTTGGGGACGAGGCATTTGGCGGCTGCAGGACGACGCAGCTCTTCCACCTGAAATACCTTGCCGCCATAGAGCTCGAGACGTGCCCTGGGGACTGGACGCGGGGGGCCGACTCCGCGACGCGCAACCTGCTGAGCAGCTTTTTGCAGAACCCCAACCCAGGCGAGGGCGAAGTCAAGCGTGTGTTTGACGTGCTCGAGTTCCGCGCGTCGTCCATCATCCTCGCGTAGTCCCTAGCCAAAGCCCTCAGCCTGCCCCTGCCCGACGGCGGGTGTAAGTGCCGTTTTTGGCATGATCGAGTCGAAGTTGAGGGGATGGACGAATGGTACTACAGCAGGCTGCAAGCGGCGTTTGGGGAGGCACACAACCTCTTTGATCGGGTGGCGGATTCCCCCGGCAGCGAGTACAAGTCGACGGTGCGCTTCGCGCGAGCCTCGCGCTGGCTCTCGGCGGCGATTGCGACCGGATTCTATGACGGTGCTGCTGCTGTCGCTACGAATGAACAGATCAAGGCTTTTGTGCTCGGCGAGGTGGCACGCCTGGTAGAGAGGATCCGCGAGGAGCAGGTCAAGCTGCTGATGCAGGACCAGGATGTCGTGCGTGCAGGGAGGAGGTGGATTGACGCGTTGATCTTTGACTTTGATTGGGTTGAAGAGATTATGTAGAGGTACCGTACCAGGAGGGGGGGGGTCCAGGAAACTGTAACCACAGTCAATTGGCAGTCGCCCAAGGCAGACGTTTGGAAAATCCGTCCCGTTGAGCGACGGTTGGGTAAATCGTGAACGTTGGCCTATACGTTGATTCGCGTTCTAGCGACTATCAAGGATAATGTATGGTGGCCGATACGTACATACCGTCCGTTCACGCCAATTTGCACCAGACTTGCGCAAAACCCATTATACATTTACACCCAGTGCACCACTTTGTAACTAGTTTTACTGCATTCCACCACCCATTACAAGCCATATTGTCCTACTTTCATACTTGCAACTATAGAAACGTTGTAAGACCCCAACCACTCTAGCTCGCAAGTCACTACAAATGAGTAAGGCACTGCAAGGCACTACAAATGCGTAAGGCACTGCAACTTCGCAAGGTACTGCAATTGTGCAAGGCCCTCACTGCTCGACTTACAATGTACTGCAATTGCGCAACGTACTACAACTGCGCAAGGCACTGCAATTGTATAAGGTACTGGGTTAGGGTTAGGGCTAGGGTTCTAGAGTTTGGGTATTATAGTACCTTGCAAGTCGAGTAGTTAGGGCCTTGCACAATTGCAGTACCTTGCGCAATTGTAGTGCCTTGCGAATTGCAGTGCCTTGCGAATTGCAATGTCTTGCAAGCCAAGTACTATAGTTAACTGCTTAGTTGCAAGCCCTAGTATTGTGTGGATTCTGTAAACCACGCCAGGGTGGGCCTACGAAGGTTTACACAGGTGCGGTGCAAATTAGCGTGAACGGATGATATGTACGTATCGGCCACTATATATGGAGTAGACGTTGGGCTCTAGGTCAACGTTGATGTTTCCTAGCGGTGAAAATTCTCAACGTTAATGTACCTTCAAACGTTAGAAAATCCAAACGTTTGGTGGGTCTAACTATATATTGATACCTAGGCTGTAGGATATAGGATTGGGCTGGATTTTTCGGTATATATCCCCCTACCTGCCGCCTCTCCCCCCTAGCCCGCCTGCTCCTCCTCTTACCTACTCCTCCGCCCACCCTCCTAGGTGCTCCTACGATGG